ACAAAATAACAAAATAACAAAATAACAAAATAACAAAATAACAAAATAACAAAATAACAAAATAACAAAAAAATAACAACAAAATAACAACAAAATAACAACATAACAAAGCTGGAAGGGACATTGGAAGGGACAACCCCTTGCTCAAGGAGGAGACCATATACTATTTCAGACAAATGGTTTCCCAATCTCTTTTTAAGACCTCCAGTGTTTTGAGTACCCACTTCTGTTTGCAAGTTGTTCCACTGATTAATTGTTCTCATTGTCAGGAAATTCCTCCTTAGTTCTATGTTGGCTCTTCACTTGATTAGTTTCCATCCATTGCTTATACGGTGAGTTAAAGCCCCAAAAGATGCAGAAATTAGTTTCAATTAGTTCAGCATATTATTAATATGCTGTAATTATTAATAATAGTAAAATAATGTCTTTGTAGAATTTGGTGCACTTTAGCTCAGTAACGAAGTCATGTTTTACATATAAAAAAAATATTAAGTTCATTTCTCAGCCTCAGACAGACTCAGGAAAAGATTTCTGTTTGAAATTCCTGCCAGTCAGTATAGCTCGTACATCATAATAGTTTTTAGATATATTGAATTTCAATTATTATACTTTTCTATCAGCATATACTTTAGGAACCGAAGTCAAAGATATTTGAGCTGGACCAGGTCACAAAATTCTAATTTGCAGAAAGTTATTTTATAACCTCTAATTATACTTTTCAATGTGAAGATGCTCTGGGAGAATCTGAGTGAGGCTGATGTTGCCTCAAAGCAACAGGGCCAGATGTCTGCCACCAGAAGACACCAGGGGAATCCAGGAATCTGAAGGTGAATGGTTCTTACCGGATACGCTCATTCTCTGTAGAAGTGGAGACAGCAGCGAGACTGGGTTTACTCCGTCCAGTAACCAATTGGACAGAGTCTACACTTATGATGTCATTGGGCCCTTGTGGCTCCTCCCCAGTTCAGACAAAGGAAAACTGTAGACTCAAGAGAATTGTGAGCAAAAACGTACATGGGTCAAGTCCATATCCTCTGTTTTTTTTTCTCTCTCTCCACCGCACAAAAAAGTTCTGAATTGCGTGACGCACCCCAGGGTGGGGCTGGCTGCTGTCTCCACTTCAACAGAGAATTAGCGTATCAGGTAAGAACCAACACCCATTCTCCTGTGATCGTGGAGACAGCAGCCAGACTGGGACATACCAAAGACTGGGCTGTCCACTAGGGTGNTGTGTGTGTGTGTGTGTGTGTGTGTGTGTGTGTGTGTGTGTGTGTATGTATGATTTCATGGTTCAATTTGTGAACCTTTCTGAAGTACATTAGGTTTAGATTAAATGGATTAATAGATTTTGTGAAGGAGATTATTTTGTGAGTGCATCCATATGTGCCAGACATACATCATATGCTGTGAGTCAACTAATCCATTGGAAGTGAAGCAAAAACAGCAGTAGGAATTATGAAAAAAAAAAAACCAACTCCCAAAGCTCTAGAGCTGAATAGAGACCACCCAACCTGATTTTCATGGCTGAGATTAGGCACAAATAGCTCATCCTCATTCTGGGGATAGCATTTCCAATTCATTCCTGGTTCCACAGAATGAGTGTGTGTGTGTGTGTGTGTGTGTGTGTGTGTGTTTATTTATTTATTTTCTGGAAAGTAGAATTTTGCTTCCAGAATTACTTTCTTCTTTTCTTTAGCTGAGAAAGTGATCCATATCCTATAATGCATTGACATTTTTTAAAACCAAGGCTAACAAATTTACATAGTTTATAAACCTGAAAGGGGGGGGGGATTTGCATGTTAATATGTATAAAAGTTCTCCATCAATGCAAACATCTTTACTAAATAAAAAATGAAGAATAATAAGCAATGCCATTAAACGTACATTCAAAACATTTTCTAAAAGAATTTTCCCCCCCCATTTATCTAAGACTTGGCCACAAATTTCATTACCCAGAACAACAATATCTCATTTGCTTTGTATTGAATAAAAAATAAATAAAAATATTGAATCTAATCATCTGAAACTTGCTAAAATTTATCTTCCCCAAAAAGTCAACTATACTTAAAAATTATTTCCAATTGTGCCATTTTTTTAAAGTGATATTAACACTTCTGTTTAGAAGGAAAATAAACGTTTCAATGTTTAACTCACTATATATTATCTTCTCATATGATGCTAAAATTCCTGCAATTTAGAGCCATTTCAAATTAACTTTAATGGAATGTGGACTAAAAGCTGACTAGTTATATTTTTGGCCACACAGAGGGGGGGGGGGGGGAACAACTTGCCATTTTTCTGCAGATATAATTAATGAGAAACATGGATGTTTGAGGATTCACATCAAGTTTAAGATTTAAGCTTAAGTCTCTCATATCTCCTAGGCCTAGGGCAATGGGCCCCAACCTTTTGGGCATCAGGGATCAGTGGAGAAAGTTTTTTTCATGGAGCGGAGGGGTGTGGTTTCAGGTGCTGCCTGCATCCTGTAGACAAAGCTTTGCTTGTTGCATGGCCTAGTTACTGACATGCTGAGAACCGGTGCTGGTCCCTGGATTGGGATTTGGCGACCCCCTCTAGGACCATCACAAATGGAAAGCAGTCGGCTTGCAGCAGATCCTGTGATTGGATTCTTTGGACACAAGAATAACTTAGAGTCAGGAACAGAATAGACCAGGCTGGGCATGCCTTCTGGCTTATAAGTGAGATATGTTGAGAGAGATCTGTAGAGAATCCAGCAGTTTCTTCATCTTGGCCCCAAGGGGCAGAGTATAGCTGGCAGAACTTTTCCTTCCCAGAGGACATCCTTGTTATTGTGGGTTTTGGCAGTAACAATGTTCAGCCTCCTTTGCATCATAGTTTCCTGAGAGACATTGCCCTATGGTTGTGCCCTATCCCTATTCTCCTTTCCTGCTCTTCTCTTGTGCCCTGCAACACAAGGAGGTCCTGAGCAAAGCTCTGCCTGCCCTGTGGTTCCCTCTTTCCTGCATCCTCTAGTGATGAGCTACAGATTCAATCATTTCTTGAAACACTATCAAGGTTGGGGAAGACTCCCTTAAGGTAGGAGCTCATCTGAAGACATTTAAATGAAGAATTAAGCATGCTTAATGAAGCATGCTTATTAATGTCCTTATCAAAAGAATACATCCATTTAAAGAACTATTGGCCTCAATCCATCATATTGCTAGTGAAGATGATGCCCACACCAAACACACCCAGTTTCTACTTGATAAGCTCCTTGAATAAAAAAAAAACCATAGCATTTGGTAGTCCTTGAGCAGCTACATTAGTAAAGCAGAATATTACAGTACAGCCATTGGTTTGACAAATATTTTCTGTACATGCAATTTTTAAAGTGTTCGCTTCTGCATATTTCATGGTTATAGGCAAACAGCATCAGATTCACCTTCCATACATAACATTTACTTGTCAAACAGGAAGGCTTTGTAAAGTAAGTCATTAGAGCTGAAAAAGATATGATTATCCAAAAACTTCACCTTTTATGTAGAATTTCAATTCTACTTGCCCAGCTGTAAATTTAACTGACTTTCCTTTGGAATAAACTAACATCTGGAAATTGTTTTGAATTTGAAAAATGTTCCATAAATATTAAGTCAAGCGATGACTTCAGACTCTTTTAATGGAAGCATTTACACTCCAATCTTGTTTTACCACAGTATGTCTGTCTTCCATGGAGCAGAAGATGTTTTACAGCAGCTTTGGCCCACCTGGAACTCAGCATGTATTTTAGATCTTATCAGGATTCTCTGACATCAATACAAATCAATATAAATATGACCAGACAAATTTACTAATGTACTAAATGAAACTGAATTATTAACTCAATATTGTAAATATTATTTGATCGCATGAAGAAGTTAGGATCTGTGGTTACTGGCCAAAAATTTCTTTTCGTTTTGTTGTTTGGCATCCCTAAATCAATACTTTGACATGACCTTCATATTGCCAATTCTGAAATAAATTTCTTTGAGTGCACTTTAGACACAGTATGTAAGAAGAGGGTTATACATTTGTATAGGAAGAGCGTGAAAATTGCTGATATGCTTAGGGGATGATGAGGAGCTACAAGATTTTCTTAGCTAATATGAGTAATACAATATGCAATTTTATTTGGTAAAAAGCAGTATTACTTTCTATATGTAATCTGCATTCTCTCAGCTAGGGTAAGTAGAATATAGAATTACCGTACTCATTTCTTCCTGGGGAAAATGTGTTGTATTCTTATAGAGAGAGAAATGCATTTGCCCACCTGGTTGGAAATAATAGATTCAGCTTTGGAGCCAATTCATTCAAAGAAGAAGGAAACAATAAGAAAACAATATGAGACAACTCACAATTATTTTGTTCAAACAGTGTATTAGGTAAGAAATTTCTTTTTCTTTTAAGAAAGAACAAACATACAATCTCCCAAATCAAAACATTCCATGAACATTTCTTCATTTAGGAGTTGACCCTACTGATTTGACACAATATCAGAAATGTGGCTAGTGACCATGAAAGGCCAGACATACTGTATGCAATTAAATTAGTTAAATTAAAGATGAACAAGACATTACAAGTGCCAAGGTTTTTCCAAACTCTTTTCCCCCCGTAATCCAACAGTTTTTATACATGTTTGAAAGTTCAAAGTTTGATTCCTAATATGACTGCTGTTTTCAGAAAACATATATAAAACTCACATAAAAGTTCAGATGTAATACTTTGAACATCACATCTGCCTGGGTAAAGCTTCATTCTTTTTCCAACAGCCATAGCCAAAGTTTATTTAAAAAACAACAGTGACAAGCTTCACATATCATGCTAAGCCATAATATAGTTTATTGGATTTTAGCTTAACATATTATGTGAATCAAGTCACTGTATCTTCTAAACTATGGTTAATAGCTTTCCACTATTATGATTTATTCAACAAACCGCTGATTAGTATATAGAACTGTTTTGTTTGAGAATTGGACAGTGGTGCCAGTTATTCCCTGTTATCCCCCCCTTTTCAAAAGTTTGATCTCAAGTTTGTAAGGTTAAGCTCTTTTATAGCAGTTTTTTTAATTGACTGCTTAAAGTGACTAGTAAAAGAAGAGGAAATTGAAATAATGGAAATGAAGATTATAATTGGGTGTATATCACAGATTGTACCCCCAAACTAGTCTCTACAAGTGTCCATAGTTCAGTATGACTTCTGGAAGTTTTAGTCCAGCATGGTTGAAGACCACTAGATTGGGGAAGGCTGAATATAGATCTGTGCAAATGTAAATGATATCCAAAATTGTGTTAAAGTACCTAAATATTTAGTTGAGCATATAATTATGTATTCCAAGAAACCTAACTTCCTATTCCCTGAATGTAGGAGTATCTGCTGAATCAGAATAAATTTTAGTAAGTGTTTCAGTGCATTGCTTTCTACAAATCTCTGAAGAGGTATGGAAGACAGCTGTATGTCACTGTAACTCAGAGAAAAAAGAAATTTTGCAAGCTAATATTTATAAATTGTTTTAAAGATGGTTACTCTCAATAATAGCTATATAAAGCTTCCATACATAGAGGTAATCAATCTGATTTCTGGATGCTGCAGGAAGGAACACAAAGTATATGGTTTCTCATCACCTTAAAGCCCATCTTTTTAATTTCCAAGAGTCATTTGGATGTCTGCTATAAGAAAAAAAAAGAATGCTGACTGAATAGATTTTGGTTTTATTTGTATCCTTTTATATGAGCATGTTTAAATCCTGGTGCAAAATCACACACATATAGACGTGCGTGTTGAGATCTTACACCAAGATCTCAAGATCCCTGGTATAAAGGGATACAAATAAAACCAAAATCTATCCAGCAAACATATATATATTTCCTTGGAGATGATTAAGATAGTGAGGAAAATAATAGAAAAATGCAAAAGATATTTGTTGAGCTACTATTAGAAACAAAAGGCAGGTTGAGATAAATCCTTGGCCTGATTGAGCAGCATACTCCAGTTATTCTGAAGCCATGGGGTGGGGGCAGGTGTATAAGGATGATTGGCTCTATCAAAACATGCCCCCAGTTCCATCATCCTATCTCTCCAGACTTGCTTTTAAGAGGCTCAAGGGTGAGCTATGATAATGCCCAAGGTTCTCAACATTGATGTAAGAAAAAAGAAAGAGCTCAGTATAAAACAGGTTCCCACATCCTCCCCACACTTGAAAAGTTTCCCAAATAAGAGTTACTCTTTTTTTAAAAAAAGAATAAAAGAAACAAAGAGCATAAAAATATCTGTGAGACTTCGGTTCACTCTACAGGCTTCCAAAGAGAACAGCCAGAGATTCTACTCTGTACTATACAGAGCTTCTATATAGAGATATTTATATAGTTTTTATATATACTGTTTTCAAAATAGCCGAGCCTGCTTCTTCAATTCATTTCTTTTCCACAAAGCCAGGCGATCAAATTCAGCAATAGTCATGCCAAACACCTGGTAAAATTCCTCTGGGGACAGATGGCGCTGGAAAGAGAACAGAGAGGTATGCTGTTATACAAGTATGGCTAATGTACAAGTGTGACAACAGGCACTTGATTTGAAATATATGTAAGTTCTGAGGCAACATTTAGTTTACACCACTGCATCTTCAGGCTCTACATTTGCACCTGGACATGACCCTTCTCTCATAGTAATCTGTTGGAGTTTGTAGCACAATTATTCACACAATCCATTTTGATGAAAGGACTTTCATACCAGAGGTGGACCTTGATGAATTTGGAGATCTAAATATCTGAGTCACTCACCCCAGCCTCTCTTCCAGCCCATTCTCACCTACTTGTTCCAATTTCCCATGAAGACTTCTAGAGTGACAGACATGCAACCATACATTTGGTGTGTTCACATGTGTTTCTCTTTATGTATTTTTGTCTTTCTCTACAAAATACTTCTAGACTCAAGGTATTGTATTTTCATCCTCCTGTTATATTATTAACATTCTTGTAACACCCAAGTTTGTGTGCGCACGACTTTGATATACAGGAATAGAATGGAGGAGGAACAGGTGATAAACAAGCCAAAGCTTCTAAGAACAGAAACAGCCAAAAACATCTATATTTTTGATGATTTGTATTTCCGTTTTGGGTCTTTCTCTTCAAGTACTTATTACCATTTCTTTACTTAGAACAAAATTGACCAAAAGAAGACCAAATCTAAGCTGATTATTAAAGAAATATAAATTATATATATTTTTTGCATCCACTGAGAAATTATCAGGATGGACCTTAAAACTGTAGATCAAAAGTTCCGTCTGAAAACAACCTGAGTCTTAATTACTTACAGACAGGAAAAATATGTTGCAAGGATAAATGATTCGCCTTAGGTTCCATAAATGAGGAAAGAAATTGATTTAGAAAGAACATTTTGTCAGGCACCAGAGAAATCAGGAGATTCAGGCAGTTCAAATGACTATAAAGATTTATTGCAAGGTTAAGCTCTCTACAAGTATCTGAGCTACTAATGGTTGAGGGAAATTGGTGGGACTTAAGAAGGCATTCAAGGTGAACTAGACTTAGATTTCTTGTGGGCATGCAGGGACTTAGACTGATGATGCATTTTCCCCCTCCCTCCGGCTCATCCTGGTCATCTCGTACAC